GGAAGCGTCTCTTGGGCAAAAGGGGGCCCAAGGATGAGGATGAGTGGCTGCTCCTCAAGGGAGCAATCCTCGGTGCACAAGCAAAGTCTATCCCATCTCAGAGGAAAGGCAGCAAAAGGGCACAGCAGCCCCCTTGGCTCTGCAGGGAACTAGCATACCTCCTGTGTCTAAAAAGAAAGGCCTACAAAGAATGGAGGATGGGATCCACCTCCAAGGAGGAATATTCTGCACTGGTTCAGATCTGCAGAGACCAAACCAGGAAAGCCAAGGCTGCAACTGAACCCCAACTGGCTACAAGTATCAAGGACAATAAAAAGTCCTTTTTCAGATATGTGAGGAGCCGGAGGAAAAGCAAGGGCAACATTGGACCCCTGCTAAACCAGATAGGACAACTGACGCCCAGGAAAAAGCCAACCTATTAAATGGGTACTTTGCATTGGTCTTTCATCAGTCCCATGAGACGCCCATGCCCGCTACGGGACAGGGAGGTCCAGGTGAGGGAGATCCCTTGCCTTCCATCAATGCGGACCTCATAAAGGAACACCTTGAGAGGCTGGATACCTTCAAGTCAGCTGGCCCTGACAATCTACACCCCAGGGTACTCAAGCAGCTGATGAGCATCATAGCCCAGCCCCTGGCATGGATCTTTGAGAACTCCTGCCGCTCTGGTGAAGTGCCTGAAGACTGGAAGAAGGCCAATGTGGTGCCAATCTTCAAGAAAGGGAGGAAAGTGGATCCAGCAAACTACAGGCCCATCAGCTTGACCTCTATCCTGGGGAAGGTCTTAGAAAAGTTTATTAAAGAGGTCATCCTTAATGGACTGGCCGACACCAACATCCTGAGGATAGCCAGCATGGGTTTGTTGCGGGTAGGTCTTGCTTGACCAATCTCATTTCCTTTTATGACCAGGTGACCTATCACCTGGACAAGGGAGAAGAGATTGAGTCATACATCTTGACTTCAAAAAAAGCCTTTGATCTGGTATCCCATGATCACCTCTTGGCAAAACTGGCCAGTTGTGGCCTTGGGCCCACCACGATCCACTGGCTGGGAAATTTGGCTCCGTGCTCTGTGACAGTGGGATCTCCCAAGGCTCTGTCCTTGGACCCATATTGTTCAACGTCTTCGTTAATGATGTGGGCGTTGGAGTCAGAAGCAAACTGGCCACGTTCACCGATGACACCAAACTTTGGGGCAAAGAATCCACACCTGAAGACAGGAGGGCGATCCAGGCTGACCTAGACAGGCTCAGCAAATGGGTGGATGAGAACCTGATGGTGCTTAACACTGAAAAATGCAAGGTTCTCCACCTTGGAAGGAAAAACCTGCAGCATCCTTATCGGCTCGGCAGTGGTACGCTGGCTAGCACTAGGGAAGAAAGAGACTTGGGGGTCATCATTGACCACAAGATGAACATGAGCCTGCAATGTGATGCTGCGGCTAGTAAGCAAAACGCTGGCTTGCATCCATAGATGCTTCTCAAGCAAATCCCAGGATGTCATTCTCCCCTTGTACTTGGCCTTGGTGAGGCCACAGCTGGAGTAGTGCATCCAGTTTTGGGCCCCACAATTCAAAAAGGATGTGGAGAAGCTTGAGAGAGTGCAGAGGAGAGCCACGCGCATGATCAGAGGTCAGGAAAACAAACCTTACGATGACAGGCTGAGAGCTATGGGGCTCTTTAGCCTGGAAAAGCTCAGGCTCAGGGGTGATCTGATGGCCACCTATAAGTTTATCAGGGGTGTTCCCCATTATCTGGGGAAGAGTTTGTTCACCAGAGCACCTCAAGGGATGGTGAAGTCGAACAGTTATAAACTACTGCAAGACTGTTTCAGGCTAGACATAAGGAAGAATTTCTTCACTGTCTGAGCCCCCAGGGTCTGGAATAGCTTGCCATCAGAGGTGGTTCAAGCACCTACATTGAACACCTTCGAGAGAAAATTGGATGCTTATCTTGCTGGGATCCTATGACCCCAGCTGACTTCCAGTCCTTCGGGTGGGGGGTTGGACTTGATGACCTTCCGAGGTCCCTTCTAGCCCTAATGTCTGTGAAATCTATGAAATATACTGTATTTAAAGAAAAATAAAACCACTTCCACATTGCTTGCAGAATTTTCACTTCAGTGTGAGGATGGAAGAAAGAAAAAAAACATTTTTGGCAGTTATTAGTTATGTCACTTTCACTAATGATAAACTCTCAAGTATCGAGAGTAATAAAAGGATCTGAATAGAAAAGAACAGAACCTCTGCCACATTCATCCTCCTATCCCTCACTCAAGCGATCTTCCACCTCGCTTGCTGTTTCTGGCTTCCATCTCCTTCCATGTACTTTTCTCTCATAATCTCTTATTTCTCCTCAAGCATTCCTTGACCCCTCAGGAATGTCCTATTTCCAAAGATGTGCTACTACCACTGTCCCTTAGAAGATAGAAACCATTTCCATCCTGGTCATAAGGTTCTCATACCAAAATAGTTGGCCTGAGCAGCATCCCATGTGGCCCAGATAGGAATAATCTCATATGGGTTCAAGAATTTTTTGACTACTTTGCATATCCATAATACATGAGGGATTTATTTTGCAGTACATGATTTCCTCTATTTCCAGCAATAATTCATTATGCAGTCTTCCATATGTATGTGTTTGAAGTTTCTTTTCTTAATACAAATGCATTGGATATGTCAAACATGAAAGAACACGTGCACAATTTAGGTAAGTAGGTGAAGAGAGGCAGAGGGTATATAGAAAAAACTATCAGGGATAAATATTTGGAGCTTGGTTGTCATTTGGTTGTGTCATTAGGCTCAGCCCAGAACAAGCTGTGGTATGGTAAGGTACAGTGCCTCAGAAACCTTGGAAAACACTGTCCCTCAGGATGCTTCTAGACATGATTCTTCCAATTGTAATCCTTTTACACTGAATAGGGAGGGAGGAGGTAATCCATTGCTGCTATTTATATATGGTACAGCATGTTCCTTCCTTTCCATTCATTCAGCTCTGCAGTCTGTGGTGTATGGGTGATGGATGGAATCAGGGCTGCGCTTATCCATAGAAGTTGCAGGCATTTACCTCTGCACCTTTCCTCACAAATTAAGCCATAATCTGGGCAAATTTGCTGCTGGTATGCAGGAGACATGAGAAACAAGAGGTATGCCTTCCTTTTTCCTTGCCATGCTGAAATATCATGTTAGATAAAGCCACAGTCTAACACTTGCTTAGTAAAAGAGGTTGAATATATATTTTACATTTCAGTTCATTTTCTTGCAGTAAGGTTACTTTCAGTCAGGGCTGCACTTCATCCAACTAGTTTTCTTCAGATGGTCTGTTTAAAATGAATAAGTTCAATTACTGTATATACCAAAGTACTTTAGCATGATACATTTTCTTACTAGGTCTTGCTTAAAATATATCCAGGTCAAAGTCACCTGAGGGATTAAAGTTAATTTATCTAAACTAAGCACGCCAAAAAAAATTATCCAAATTACACACAGATCAAACTATATCTTTTCCACCTAAACTTTTATTTACTTTCACCTTTTGGTATAAAGAATACTGATTAGGAATTACATTGGAAAAAATTCCTCCTCTACTAATCCAGTCCAGGTGGTTTACTAATAATCAAATCAACTGATTTAAAACTTCTATAATTATAGCACATCTGATAGGATTCTCAAACCTTGCATACAGACACAGATTTCCATTTGTTTGAATTTTTTTTTTCCATTTGACATTCTGTATTAAAGCCACATACCCTTGCAGTTTTGAAGACTCTTGAAGGCTGCAGGTGTGTTTCTAGGGGGCTCTTTTGGTTTTTTTTGGTTGGTTTTTTTGTTTGTTTTGTTTTTTTACAAACCACTGCATGCTAGTCTGGTAATTACGTACAATTAATGGTCTGTAATTATTTGACAGAAATAATGCTTCCAAACTTGCCTCGCTTATCACTGTTGAAAGGGAAGCTAATAAAATACTAGTCTTAGTATTAATTAAAATATGTATGACCTTTCCTTACTTCAGGTGCAGTAAATATATTACATAAGCACCAAAATACTTTTCACTATCTGACACCATTTAACCTAAAAAGATTCAGGACAGTGGGGAATGGTGGGCTTATAAATATCAATTTGATTCCTGACCACCTACCATGTGATGGATGCTAATTTTATATGGACATTTTAAACATGCGTTTTTTTAAGATTTAAGGGATTAATTTCCGTAAGTAATAACTAATGAAATTATTTTAATCGCAGATAGTAAGCAACAACACAAAAGGTCATGATCAACATCTCATCAACTGACAATGATCTTTTCTATACACGTTTTCTTCTCTCTAGATATCAAGAAGAGCACCATTTGTTATTTAGGTCCTACACATCCCACTCTAAGACTATTCAGTTGCTTAACTTTTTTAAAAATTGTTTGGGCCGAAATTTCCCATGCAAGGTGTCTGAATCTTTTGTGGAAAGATTTAGACAAAGTTTTTCAACTATTTCTGAGAATGAGATCAGAAAAAATATGTTGTTTTGCCTCTGCTTAGCAATTCTCAGGATTTTTTCTTTGAAAAGCTTAAGTGTCCACCTGACATGGAGTAGGGACTTGAAGTAAAGAAGGGGCCTTGGCTTTTGTATGTCAAGAATATGCCATTTGCTGTTCCAGTTAACATCTATGCAATTTTTGCCAAGTTATGAGCTTTTTAAAAACCTCAGTTTGCTTAATAAAGATTTTAGAGTAGTAACTAAAATCTTATTTGCATTGAACCTGCTCCAGACTCGCAGCTTCTGGTGACAACTAGATTGCATAGTCGTCATCCTCAGAGTGAGCATATTTTAACTCAGAGGTTCAGGTTGAAGCTGGACTTTCTCTGTAATTGTTTCACCCAACTGCTTCTGTCTGTAGGGTCAGCCACAAAAATTGAAAGCGAGGATCCTCTCCTGTACTTTCACTGCCCCAATACCAAAGAGGAGGAAGATATCCAACTTGGATGCAGAGGGAGCAAGAGGAGAAAAGAGATTAGATTAGGTAAAGGAGCTAAGTGAGATCTGGACTGTTGGTTGAGTAGGGATAGAAACTGTGACTGGGAACCAGATATGCAGGGCATTGTTGGACAAAGAGACAGAAACTGGGAGTTAGTGTGACAGGAAAATGTCAGATGAATGAAAATTTGGGTGTATTGAGACTGAAAATGGTTAGTCAAAGAGATCAGAACAAGTGTCTGGAAGAGGGGGTTATTAATGGGAAGGGAGCAGTATAGGGAAGAAATAGATTGGAGGAGTTGGGATCGAATGTGTCAAGTGTGGGAGTGTATGGCAAAAATATCTTTGCTCACTGAAGTGCATGCTCCCCTTCAGAGTCTGAAATGAAAAATAAGGATGTGTTAAACCATGTCCTTCATGTGTTTAAGGAGGGTTGCTTTGAAGCACACCTTGCCTACCTGCTTCTACTCGCACACAAAAATCCCTGAAATGCTTCAGTAAGTAGTTCTGGGATGCTCTCAGCAGCTGCTGTTAAGTACACTAGAGATTGATGTCAAGAGAGAATACAGGGGGCAACACCCAGACCAGTTTCACTGTTGAATTTTCTGGTTTGGGTTGAATGGGCAGGCAGCATCCTCAAGTGCATCCCTTCTGGGGATATACTTACAACCCCCTAGATTTCCTAATCTTTCCATCTGCTGTTAAGAAGTATGTATGAAACCCATGAGCAGCTCATATATCTCATCCATTCTAGTGCTGGCCTATAGAGAGGATGACCAGCAACCATTTTTACCCATTATTGTATGTGCTGAAGTGGCAAAGATCTGTTCAGTGCATATATAAGTTCTAACTTTATTTATGATTCATGTTAGTACTAGTATGATGCCACATGATGGCATTTCAGTTTGCTTTTTAAAAAACTCTAAGGTTTCTGGGTGCTCTAATTGAGGCTGATGAACCAGACTTGTGGAAGGTCTGAGCATTCACAGTGACTACTAAAGTCCATGTGAACTATGTCCTGAACACATAATGTGCTATATAATACTTCATCCTTAAAAAAGGTGGATCTAAAGAGTCTTAAAATGGGTTCCCAATATTAGTTAACTTTTTGATGGTCTTTTGAACTCTGTGGTTTAGCCATCCCCCTTTGTAAAAATGGAAATATTAATGGCACCTCCTTACTTCATTGTGAAGTGGGCAGATGTTGTAGTGATAAGCGCTATAGAAAAGATTTTGAAGAAATTAATAGTTCTTACTTCAGAACAGAGTTTGCAGACAGTTCAGTAATCAGACAAAGAATCACAGGACATATGCAGAGATTCAGTTTCTCATGGGAGAGTAGCTGCCCTCTCAGGAGAAACTATGAGTGTACAGATGTTCAAGATTTTTCTCCCAGAGCAAAACATGGGCACTTTGGGAGAAAATAACCTAGGAACAACCAGGGTTAAATTAGTCCTGGGAGAGTTTGTCATGGGATAGTGAATATCTGGACACATTCTTTTGTGGGGGGAGCCACAGCACAATCCTGTAGTATCATATGGTGCTTTGTCCATCCCCAACATTTCACAATCTCCACATTGTGCCATCCTGTCTCTAGGCAGACTGAGGAAATCTGCAGGACATGCTGAGGTGTGTGTTTAGAGGGCCTCTGGATGCATAACACTGCAAGCACTCTGCTCCTCAGTGGTTCAGCATTTTAGTGTCTGATCAGGTGTCTCTTGGTAAGTTTTTCTACCAAGAAAGCAAACCCAGGAAAAATCTCTCAGATTATTTGAACATGTAACACAGCCACATTCTGAACAAAGAAAAAAGCAAAAGATAAAATAGCTGATCATTAAATGATCACCTTGTTTTGTGCAGTTCAAGAGACAGTATTCCTCTGGGGAAAAAATTGTATGCGATCACAGTGTTAGAAATAGTATTGCAATGCACAAGCACAAAAGGGAATGAAATAAGATGGCATAGCCAACCATCAGTTTCAGGGATTCTACTCCTGTGCTATACAGGTATGAGTTCAGCCTGCTAGACTGAACGGTACTGTGTGAATAATGGAAATATTGAAGAAATAATAATTTTAATAAGTCTACTATATTCTGGATAGCTTTAATTACTTTTGATAGATGTGATGTGTAGCAAGTGTGCCTCCTAAGTATTTATTTAGTTGTGTCTGGATGCAGTCCTACACATGATTACTCAGGATCACCTCCACCAGGCTGCTTTCATCAGTAAGTGTTGCAGCCCTTCATGATTACCTTTTACTATTAATACTTTCAGTCTCTCTTCTGTTGAAATGAGTGCTCCTTATACCTTGTCAAGTTCTGTTCCCCATATATCTAGCAGTGAACCTTAAAGAGACTCTGAGATGGAGCTTGGACGATGCTCTGCAAACCATGTGGCTTAAAAATCTCAGGTTTTCTTTCCTTTTTTAAAAAATTTTCAGTATTTTCTTTAGGTTTTGCATGTTTTGTTGGGGAAATCCATTATTCCACACATGCAGAAATCTCATATCTTGGGAGTTTAACCAAACTTGTTGATCAGAGCTTTGTTCACATGCAGCTTAGCTTGTTGCCAGCTGAAGGACACATTTCAATTGTTTGGATTATGAGCAGCTCTGGCTCTGTTTCTACCAAACGATCCAGGCTTCTGGACCCTTGTGCCTATGCCAACTCCCATTTTAAAATCTACTATTTTATATCAGTCTGTCTTGAATACATGTCTATATTTTGATTAAATGACACTGTGTACAACAGTTTTTTCAGTACCTTCATTATATTAAAGTATTCATTATACTAAATATTTTCATAATAAAATATGTTTGTAATGAGCAACTGGCATTGATATGAACTAGGAAACATAATGTGGGTGACTGAATAAATATGGTTGTGCAAAACAATATAAAACAGCACGTGATAAAAATTAGAGAACATGTAGCAAGCCTGATGGTGGTTACATGTCATGGAATGTAAATTGAGGGAGAAGGCAGCATAGTATAGAAACTTGAAATACCTCTAATAGTTAAGGTCTTAATAGAGTACATATATTTAAAAAAAAGAGTAATGCTACTGAGAAAAGGCCTAATAGTGCAGAACAAAGCCTCAGTAAAATTCATATTAACTTGCA